AAAAAAAAAAAAAAAAAAAAAAGGGCCCACAGTAATTGGCATATGCTGTTGTGGTGACCCTGCCCTAGTTGGCAAAGCTAAATAAATAAATAAAAAAATAAATACTGTTACATACGATACCACACCAAACTTTTTGTTACCAACAACCATCTCCACACTCTGTATAGTATGGTACCTTTCTGTAGATGCCCCCCCCCCCCCGCGGACAAATTCTTTAAAAAGGCCCTGACGTATGCCCACCCGCTGTCTTTTTATTGTACTCAGGACACAGTACATTCACTGTAGTGCATTCACACTGTATGAGAGACTCTAAAGACTGTAAAGATCAAATGCGCTTACATCAAGTATCATACGCTTATAATACCTAATTACATACTCAGCCTGGACTATTTTATCTTCACAACAATTGCGATATTACTTTCTATTCTTGACTTATGTATATCATGCATAAATCATACAATCCATGGGCTATGATTATACGCATTCGCGGATTCCTCTGCCCAGCAAAGGAAGACAAACTTTGCCAATTTCTCGTCCAAACACCAAAATTTCATTAATTTCTCCTTGACCTTGTGCAATGTCCGTCTCTAATCCAAGAAAACATGACAGACAGACAAACACACACACACAGACATGTCATTGGATGAAGAACATATACCCAAAATTTTCATGGATTCATCAAAACGTTTTTAGATAAAATGATTTCTCCACCTCTTAAAGTTCAAACGCCTACGGTTTCAAAATTACTTATTCCGATTCTTATACCATATAAACTCTGGCCATCTCCACACATCAACACCATGGATATAATCTCTTAGCAGATCGTATATATATTGCGTGACTCGAGCAGTTATTGAATTAATTCGTATTTGCGTAAATCCGGTCACGATTCGCTTGCCCGCACATCGCATGATTTGGCGTAATTCAATACTTTGCACGTTCGAAGACAACTTTCTGTAATCAAAGCGAATCAAAGCAAATATATTTCCTCCTATAACAGGTCTGACAAAAAGAAAGGAGTCCAGCTTGCCAAGAATTGAGAGTCGATTCAGATTGTCGCTGCTGACTCACTGACTGTCACACTATATTAACAGGTATGTTTTTAATGGTTTAAGTTATGTTAGTATCATAGCCATGGCTCAATTCATTCGTGCGAACCTCAATATTACAATAAGTTAGCGCTGTAAATTAAATTCCATTGTTTTTATTCTTTAATTTTTCTTCACCCGTACTCGAATTCATGCAATAAAAGTTGTCCTGGGCAAATAAAGCTGAATTTATTTTAAACAGCGCCATGTATAAACTCGTCAGTCATCATAGTCATAGATCACACTATTATTTATTTCGAAGAATAATTCGTCGAAGATTTCAAAATTGAATCCTTCGATTTCGTTCGTGAAATAAATCCGCTTGTATATATCCAAGACAAAGTAAACTGTATAAATTTTGAGCAATTAAAGTAAAGTCATACCGGTATTAAAGTATACGAAGCGGGGTGCCGTTATACATCGATTGCTTTAAAATATATAGCATGCATAGGGGCGTTGAATTCCCTTATTTGTTTGTATAATATCAAGATAATGCAGAGGAAACGTGAATGATACTGTATTGATTAGGGGCATTGTAAAATAACACATTGAATAGCAAAGTCGTCGTTTAAACGTTTGTCGACACAGGTGTTGAGGTCATTTGCATGTTACTGTTATAACTTATATACACTGTCATGGAGTGAGACTGTGAGTGTTCGATATTTGCCATGTCCATGGCTCCATGCACAACTGTAAATTCGCGTTCAAAATGTATCGGTGTATTTATATATATATAGACAGTTGAAGATTTGTAATCCAGGCATTTTATTAATTGAATCATTTTACAAATTATGTTGATTGTTGTTCTCTGTATTGTATTAATATAAATGTTTTGAGCTTTCGACTCGGTACTTCGAGCCTTCATCATGCAGAAAGGAAAGCTTTGTATATCACTGATTTAAATGGTTCTCATGGGAGAGAGTTAAATAATAACATTGCCTTGCTATATAGGCTATAGCCTATAGGATATATTTGATTTCCCAAACTCAGTATTAACGCCGAAACCTTTCCTGAAGTCTATATAACTCTGAATTATGCACGCGCAGATATATATATATATATATATATATATATAATATATATATATATCTATATATATATATATATATATATATATATATATATATATGTCGCCTTGTTTGACTAGTATATTATTATATAGGCCCATCATCAAAATGCTATTATTCTCTTCCCCTAATTGAAGACGTATGTTTTATTTTGGCATGGATATATATATATATATATATGTCGCCTTGTTTGACTAGTATATTATTATATAGGCCCATCATCAAAATGCTATTATTCTCTTCCCCTAATTGAAGACGTATGTTTTATTTTGGCATGGACAAATTCGTGGATATGTCTGGATTCTATGTGTTAACTACACGTGCAGGACTAATGTCAGTCTGTCTGGAATTTATCATATTGATTTATATTGATCACAAATAGACATATAGTGTTAATGACGTTGGTAAACCATATAGTAAAACAAAGGCAATAATCGACTATTGTTCTTAGGCTCAATAACAAAGTAATTTTCAACCCTACTAAGCACAAAACATGAGTAAGTATTTGACATGAAAACGAGGCCATTCGGGGAAAGAGAATAATCGTATTGCGTTCTTGCTATCATTCTAGAGTGAACCGATTTGGTAACCGGCTTGTCTCCGTGTTAAACGTAACCAGTTACTATATACAGCAAATTTCCTCGCCACGTATACGCGCGTGACACATTAATATTGAATGCATGTATATCTTCATTTTCTCGATGCCTGCTAGTACACCAGTAATACAGTATATAGATGCAAAAAGCGAATGGCATATATACTCATGTAGCTGCAGGGCTCGAAATAGCGGGCTGCCAATGGCCAAAAGCAGGCCATATTTTACAAATGGCAGGCAAAAACAAATTTGAACTGCCAAGTAAAAAAAAATGGCAGGTGAAATTCTATATAGATATATATTTCATTTCATTTACTTACCACAACTCATATATACTATAGATCATTTATTTGACTAAATATGTTTGTATGAAAAATAATAAAAATTGCATATCATGAAAACATTGATTTTTACAATATGACTCGTATGAAACATCGCCATTTTGGCAGTTCAATGAATAAAAATGGTAGGCTAAAATTTATTTCACCTGCCAAAAAATTTTAGACTGGCAGGCCATATTTTTTCTCTATTTCGAGCCCTGTCATGTAGGGTATACAGCTCAATGTCGAATCTATGCTGTTAAAACTATCAATAATGTAAACATAACTTAAACATTAACATGAACCGGAATAAACAGTCAATAAGAAACAAATTCGTCCAGGAAAACATGGGAATATATAATCTTTATAGGCCATTGCCATTGGATAAAAGAGAATAATCGGTAAGGTCTATTCTTATACTGCCCACTAGCTGCAACGTGCTGCATCCCACATTCAAGCTTTTAGAGTGTGTTTATAATGTAATGGGAACACATTATATCTCCAGGATATTTATATAGAGCTAAAAGGTATTTTGGCTTCCGAAACGTATAATCTAACGGCAGATAGAATGTTCGATAATGATATGTTTCGGAATTGCGGTTCATAAGTGACCGTATTTAATACGCGTATATAAGGCGTAATCAGAATTCACAACAAATAATGTGAAACGAAAACACCTTTATATCCAATATATATACATGAGATAATCGCGAAGAATAATCTTGCAAAAAATTGGAGAAAAAAAACAAGATGTGGATATAAATAATATAGACATAATTCATAAATTATTTTCAAGATTACTTTTCGATCCTATGTGACATAATCATCAGACATTATAGGCTCAACATTTTTATCCAACATTGGCAACAAGCATTGTTTGGACCATGCAGGTATATTACTATTAGACTTTCTGCATAAATTTATTGTGCACAAAGACAAGACTATTATCACATGCAGTATATATTGAATTGATTGAGACAGTAGACGCTCATGTAGAAGACAATTGATGCATGGTAATAGAGAAGTGGAATTATTATGTGGACAAATTTGCGTCGGATCAAGAGACCCGGCAAGAGGTCAAAGGAGCTTTATATCCAATATATATACATGAGATAATCGCGAAGAATAATCTTGCAAAAATTTGGAGTAAAAAAAAAGATCTGCATCATGCATGGATATAAATAATAGACGTGTAAATTATTTTCATGATTACTTTTCGATGACATAATCATCAGACATTAGTATCAAAATTTTATCCAACATTGGCAACAAGCATTGTTTGTACGAGGTATATTATACTTTGTGGTATAATTCCGCATATATATATGGAAATACGTGACCGACGAAGGGGCTTCGCTCGAAACGTCACTATACTCACTAGCAATTTTGTCGGCGATTTTGTGTTTCAGACGTATGCGATGAGTGAACTCTGACACAAAAGTATAGAGGCTTTAGAAGTAAACAATTCTAAGACTATAACGCCTACATGTATACTAAAAGCACACTCAAAGAGTGGAGGTTCAATCTGAGCTTCCCTTGAGTGTCAATGCTGTTTTTTGAATAGCTGGAGGGTGAGTAGTCACAGTAAGTAGGGTGAGTAGTCATAGTAAGGTACGACACTAACCCTCCAGCTATTCAAAAACAGCACTGACACCGTCAAGGGAAGCTCAGATTGAACCTCCAGTCTTTCAGTGTGAGCGTGAGTGAGCTTTTAGAATACAGCGTCAGAGTTTCTTATTTTCTTTTAATTAACTTGTGGTATACATATTTTTTATCTATAGGCGTATTTTAGTTTTGAATATTTTGTAATTGTACATATAGGACCCTGTAGTTGATAACAGTGAAGATCACTGATTAGGCTTTCTTTTTAAATATTACATAATAGCAATAATAATGACTTCATCAGAATATTGAAAACAAAAACATATTGTTATTCTGGCAAATTTTCAAAAATTTCAACCATGCACAAAATTTCCGCACTTTTGAAAGTGCAAAAGCCGCGTAAAGAGGAGTGATTTCCTACAGGAATGATTTGCCTTCGGACGAAAGAGTTTCCAAAGAGGATGTATATGGTTGAATATATTATTTGTCTTTAGCCTACTGTTTCACTTGAATGTGCGTGGGGGGCAAGCTTTAAGCCTGGTTTAAAGTTTCTGCATGTGATCACAGTAGGAATTTTGCATGGGTAAATTCTAAGTTTTGAAGGGTTTGTAAGAAATGTTTGAGGGAACTGACTCTAGACAATTCAAATAACGTGAAAAGCGACTTTTACCCAAACTTACCATTATATATATACAAACAACTACAATACTAAAAAATTGGATTTCCTGAGTAGCCCAAAAATCGCGGAAAAATCGACCGTGAGAAAGGATAATGCATGGTCTGACGTCAGTTTCGTTTACAAATCTTTGTTGACATAACGTAATTATCCGATTACGCGTATATTGCATGGAAAATGAAATTTAAACTGCATATATATACGTGTTTAGACATATACTACAGAATTGTTTTAAAGTTCTTCATTGTCTAGCTGTTGAGTGATGTCTTTACCTCAAAACAACCACAACAATCTGTTTCATCCGTATAGGAATCATCAGGTGGTGAGTAATTTCGAAAATATAGGTTGCTTTTATGCTTTCGAAACCTACACGCATTCCGCGTGGATTTGTTTCGCCTACACGCATTCCGCGTGGATTTGTTTCGCCTACACGCATTCCGCGTGCATTTGTCTCGCCTACACGCATTCCGCGTGCATTTGTCTCGCCTACACGCATTCCGCGCATTTCATTTTCGATAGCATAAAAGCAACCTATATGATGATCCACCTGATGATTCCTATACGGATGAAACAGACTGTTGTGGTTGTTTTGCATTTGTCTCGCCTACACGCATTCCGCGAATTCATTTTCGATAGCATAAAAGCAACCTATATGATGATCCACCTGATGATTCCTATACGGATGAAACAGACTGTTGTGGTTGTTTTGAGGTAAAACGAAAACTATTATGTACATATATACATGCAAGCTTAACATAATCTAGACATAGCCCCAAGTGGTTTCATTTTGATAGAGTGCATGTATCCAGTCTCTGAGTCTGTAATTTTTTTAAAAAATTTTTTGTCTGTGATTTCCTATATTTTTTTCCTGCCAGAGGGTATATATACGACCATACAAAACATACACCATATAAAATCATCACAAATAAACGTTTTCAAAAAATTGAGCAACACTTAATAAAAAAAAATGGTTGAAGGTATAGACAGGACATGAGTTCCATGTGAAGACCAACCTGGGAGAAAAATCCTATAAAGACTATAGACATATATTAAACAAGGTCTATATATGGACAGATTAAGAGCAACAGCTCAAGCTGAAAATTCCGCATTCAGTCTTTAGAGCAGTAGGTTTCTGTTTACATCAAAAGAAGAATCTAATTGAGAAGAGTAGTTAATATGGAGCTTAAAGGGGGGAAACAGACCAGCTATTACGAATGATCGGAGAGAGATTTTTCCATATAGTAATTCGGTTGAAAAAAGAGTTTCTAAAAAGAGACTCTGAACTGTCCGTGTAGACAGTGCCAATAAATTACAATGATATACGAAAGCTTCGAAGTAGTATATAGGGATGCAATGCACCTATTACCTATTAATGAACAAAATTTTGATCTAGACAAATCTAGACAAAAATTTCATCACAGCTTGAAAGAGCATGATCACAAAATTAGTAATATTCCGAAGTTTCGTTGCGAAATATTTTAAAATGCGGATAATATAGCCCTGCGAAGTTTGCCGTTTTTCAGTCATTTTGTATTACGCACGGGAAATTGATACCTTTTTTGAGAAAGCGGTATCAATTTCCCGTGCGTGTAATACAAAATGACTGAAAAACGGCAAACTTCGCAGGGCTATATTCGCATTTTACAACATTTCGCAACGAAACTTCGAAATATTACTAATTTTGTGATGCTCTTTCAAGCTGTGGTGAAATTTTTGTCTAGATCAAAATTTTGTTTATTACTAGCCGGCGTAGCAGGCGCTATTTAGGGGGGGAGGGCGAAAAATGGAAGGGGCGAGAAAGAAATAGCTATTTCTTTCTCGCCCCTTCCATTTTTCCTCGCTCTCGCCTTCGCATTCCCCCCTAGCTTTTCCCATCCCCCCTAGCTTTTCCCATCCTCGCCCTCCCCCCTAAATAGCGCCTGCTACGCAGGCTAGTTTATTACGATCTATTACAACGAGAACTTCAATGCGCGGATTGTCTTGAAGCAAGTTGACCTTGCTTGAAGCAGGTTGACCTTGCTTGAACGGTTGCCAGACGAGGGATTTTGAAAAAAAGGTGACAAAGAGGAGATCTGTACGTTCCTAGAGGCCTTGTTTGCATTTGAAGAAAAAAATGAGATCTCATAATTGAGACCTTCTGGATAAATCTATTATTGTATTAGGAGGGTCCTGAAGGGGGGGGGGGTCGTATTCCCATTTCCCAGCCCAAATTTTGACTAAATCCCATTGTCCCAGAGCACAAATCCCATCATCTTGGTGGCTGTCCTGCTCAAATCTTAATCCCATTCCCATTTTCTATTGGGTTTTTTTGCTGATGAATCCCAGTCCCAGGCCAGTGCATGAAATCCCATTTTCCCACCCAAAAATAAGCAAATCCCAGTTCCAATTTTACCCCATTCAGGACCCTCTATTAGTATATACTGAAGCCAAAGGGTAGAAAGTCTTTACTCACGTACAAGGAAAACAAATTGAAACAAAGACAAAGTACCAAAAGACGAACCAAAAATTACTGGATATAGATAACACCTATATAAACACTACCCTATATTATATAAACATGTCTAATTGTATGATCGTAGTTGATCAAATGTTGCTAATATGTCATGACAGTATATGGAAGAAATTCTTAAAATATTTTTATCTCGCATGGCAATAGCATAATGAAATAGCTAGGTTTTGTAAGTTCATTAACATAAATGATTTATTAATTTTATACAAGCTCTTGTTAGAAGTTATCTCGCATGGCAATAGCATAATGAAATAGCTAGGTTTTGTAAGTTCATTAACATAAATGATTTATTAATTTTATACAAGCTCTTGTTGAAATTATTCATTATAGGAACATTGCATTTCTGTATGACAATAGGTATAATGTTGTTCATTATATACCAACTTCATCAGATCAGAATGTGAGATTATATTATAGATGAAAATTATTTTGGATTTCGGCATAAAAACAAGTTCCGCATGCATAGATATAAGTGCATGCCAATTTATATGTGCATTTAAAATGAAAACAATATTAAGTCCTATTTTATGAGTAAGCTTTATTGCCGGATGGGTTTGGAAAATAAAACTTATGTTGACGCAGACAAGATTTCCAGAAAAAAACACTTCTTGCATGTTTAAGAACAAAAGCTGTTGTGATGATTGTTTTAAAGATGGGAACTTTGAACTTTGGATGTTACATCGCTTCTTTTAATGGACTAGCAAAAAGAATAGCTTATGTTTGAAAAGGTTTTTGAGATACATGATATTTTTGCTATCTCCATGGGAAATTTTGTTAACCATTAATTGACAACTTTGGATGTTACATCGCTTCTTTTAATGGACTAGCAAAAAGAATAGCTTATGTTTGAAAAGGTTTTTGAGATACATGATATTTTTGCTATCTCCATGGGAAATTGCTATCTCTATGGGAAATTTTCGATTCCATGACGTCTATTTAACCCACGGCACAGGCCAAGCAAGTGTTAAAACATTTGTTTTTAAAAGGCAATTTGTTTTTGCGCAACAAGATACCAAATAGATTTTGCCGACAATTCTTGTATGCTAATATACGCCATGGACAATTAAACACTTGAACGCGTTTCCCAACAAAAGGTTAGCAGTCTCGTATTTTCATATAATCGAGTGACGTTCATTATGTGGGCATGACTGGCGTTGGAATGACTTGTGTAAAAATATTGTTTTCATAATTTTGTTATGTTGTTATATAAGTATTGACCATGAGGGGGGGAATTGGGGGGTCTATGTATAGTATGCATCAGTTGGCCATGATATGCATATCAGATACTATGCGTAGCGAGACAGCTGGCGTAGTTTGTCTCTTAATAGCGTGTACTTGAGAACCAGTGGACATATTCTATTTCAAGCTGCTGTAGTTTTTATGAACTCTATACCTGCAAATAAAATATATCTCAAAAGTGATGATCCAAGCTTGACTCTCCATTGGTAGGTAATATTCTACAATAAACTCCCTGTTAATTCCAGGGAGTTAATTTAACTCCGGTGGAATTATTTTGAACCTCGTTCAACTCCAAATGGGGAATAAAATTAGGATAAAAAAACTTCATCCGATTAGTTAAATGAACTTCTTGAAAGTAGCTGCCGTGGTTTGCGTCAGAACTGCTTTAAAAAGATTTCTCAAGCGTCATGGTCTCAATAATCTAATGTGGACAGTATTGTACAACATTAAGCTGGCGCGCTTGTGACTGGACTTGTTGAGGAAGATTATATTTATACGCACACTGAGTGAATTATTCGTCGCAGGGTCCGTATATACCTGATCCAATATACTAGAGAGGTTTGAATACGAGTACCAGATTCGTTGCTTGCACATGTCCGTATAATCTTCTTACGCCATTAATGCACATGCCATGATCTCGTGGTGGACGCTTGTATTCTCTACAACGAGACATTTCCCGTTGTCAAGTTGCCACGGCTGCATACGAGATTTATAAATTAAGCATCCCGTACATGATGGCGTAAGAATATGGCGAAGATTCCAAATAACGAATCTTGCTGTCACAGGGTAGAGTGTTATTCAGGGCCGGTTGTTCAAAGGTGGTTTAGCGCTAGCCCTGGGTTAAAATTTAACCTGCTGTTTTAGTTTGTGTATTTCTGCACGTCTGTTTATTTCAAAACTTCAGAAAAGTAAACTCCTATCGATCCAGACAAGATCTCTGAAGAAATATTTCCAAATTTATAGACAAGCTGTCAGGAAGTTTGCTTTGAATTTTAGCTTAACCCAGGGTTAAGCTAACCCAGCTTTGAACAACCGACCCCAGAGCTCAGAGGTAATGATTTATGATTCGCCTTCAATATGCACCGCTCGCCTTGTTCCTAGCCAGTGACGAGAGCCATTCGCCCACCATTTTGAATATTTTCAGGGGGGGGGGGCGAATGCCTCTCGCAAGCGCACTGGCTAGACAAAAATGGCAAAATCAAGAAGTTCTGCAAGTGTTTTTTACGACACAGAATCTCTTGACGAACGATGCAAAATGCAAGTTTTAGTACATTTTTTAAATAATAACAAACTTTTTTCCTTAGTCACCGACGGATTCAATATTTTGGAACTGACTTGTGATCTGTGCCAGAAAGTTAAGGAGACGCGTTAGGGTAGGTTTTGTCACTTTAAACTATTATTATTATTTAAAATTATTTGAAAACGGTAGCCCGTCAGCGGTAAAGAAAAACTGACTTTCAAGGGGCCGTTCATGAATACACATATATATACATCGTTTAGAAATACAAACACTTACTATCTATTTACAACAATTTTAACAAAAGAAATTGGGTTAATTATGTTGTCGATGTATTTCGCCTATTTCCCTCTAAGTCCTTGTAGTGATGATTAATTAAAGTTTTAAAAGAATACAAGGAAAGTTGATCGTATGCATTGACAATTTCGGCTGGAAGACTATTCCAGGATACAACTCCGCAGTATCAAAAGCTATTCTTCATATAGTTTGTGTTTGGTTTGTTTAACTGTGGTTCAAATAAAGTTTTCGATCATTACTTCTCAGTTGATACGTGTCATTATGACTGACGACTAACAGGTCTACACTATATATACTGACTGTATATGTTTTGTTTTTCTGAAGACGTGGCGTTTATTCTATATCCGCAAACTTAGTTGATTATCAACAGACATTTCTTATAATGACGCGGCCCACATGCATCATGCCCCCTCTAGTCTGTGTGCGTAGCTGATGGTTTATTTTACGTGTAGGGGGTGAGAAATTAGGGAGGCGCGAGAAAGGTGAACGCGAGCTATGCCTCCGGGAGGACACGCCCCCTCCCCCCCCCCCCTTGTGCTCTTCAAGATCGTATCTAACAAAGGGAATTTTTTATCGAGAAAAACAAAACCTATATATACATAGCTAGAATACCATCGTATTTATTGGAAATAAACTGTCAGCTTGGATTAAATTTCTATGGCATGAACAACATCTCTAAATTTGAAGTGCGAAAGTATTGATTACATACTAAAGTATGAGCTAAAAATTTGTAGAAGGAAAAAAACGTTTTAACAAAAATATGTTTCAAAAGTAAAATAATTTGATAAACAATTCAGACAGTAAAGTCATATGTAATTAATGAGCGCTAATGAAGGGAATATATGGTTTATCAGATTGGTTTCCAATCGTTTCATAGAACGATTGGAAACCAATGATAAACCATATATTCCCTTTCCATATATTCCCTTCATGTCATGGAACGATTGGAAACCAATGATAAACCATATATTGCCTTCATTGAGTGCTTATTATAATTACATATGACTTTACTGTCTGAATTGTTTATCAAATTATTTTACTTTTGAAACATATTTTTGTTGAAACGTCATGGAACGATTGGAAACCAATGATAAACCATATATTGCCTTCATTAGTGCTTATTATAATTACATATGACTTTACTGTCTGAATTGTTTATCAAATTATTTTACTTTTGAAACATATTTTTGTTGAAACGTTTTTTTTCCTTCTACAAATTTTTAGCTCATAAATCCATGACAACATATGTATGTCTCATAACCTTTGCCCTGGATGTTCTATCAACACACGCTGAGTATGAGCACCGAGCACGGCTTGCCAACATTCCTTTCGAACCGCGAGGTCTGCTATAAATATAGGGGAAACGTTTTTTGGTGAAGATTCGCAAAACAACTAGTTTGATTTCAGAGCTAACCACAATTCAAAACACGGATATAAACCAAGGTATGAATATTTGTCAGCTTTCGTAATCATATTTAAATTGAAGTGATGCCAAGATATTATATAATATTGTCTTAATATAGACAATAAAGAGCTTTTTAAGTAATTCTTTGAGTTTGTAAGTTTGCATGGCGAATTGTTTTGCTTTAAACTTATGTATTTATCAAAATGTTCGATCTGGAAATGCCAATATATATAAAAGATATATTTGACACGAAAAGGTTTTTCAATGCTCTACATACTGCTATATATTAATGTACACAGTACACTAATGCAAATAGCCCACTTTTATCAAATACAAATTAGTTAAAATGCGGTTAACATATTCTTTTATGCAAGATTTCTTGCCCTTTGGCCTCTTGAACCTCTTGCAGAGTCCAAGAATTCTATAGTCGATTTCATTCACAGAAATCAGGCCAAGAACGCGCTTAACATCGGTAGCCTAAATTTACAGCTGATTCCATACAGATTTAAATTGTATTTGTGCTTTTCCCACATAAGCGTATACGACACAGGGAGAGGGAGGGCATTGCCCTCTCCTCTCTAAAGTTCATTACAAAATGTGTTAAATTCACGTTAGTTCATTTCATTACAATCTTCCGTGGAAATTCGAGTAAACGTTTGGAATTTGGGTGACCTCCGGAAACGATGAGTTCGTTCAGTTCGCTCATGTTTACGTTGTAGTGAAAGCTTTGTTTTGTATTATATATTGGTTTGCGTCATTATTTTCAAGGGGACCCTTCTAGATCTCAAACATTTTTAATACATAACAATGCTATTACGCTACGCCTTGACGTAAACGCATTAATATATGCATTATCTTGTGATGATAAACACTGCATGTTTTGAAACAAATAATTGCGCTGTTTAAATCGAGGTATGAATTAATATTCATGAATTTATATATGCATTATCTTGTGATGATAAACACTGCATGTTTTGAAACAAATAATTGCGCTGTTTAAATCGAGGTATGAATTAATATTCATGAATTTTACTGGATCCAAATGGGATTTACTTTCACCAAATTCCCAACTGTGGAAAAATGCAATTTCCACTGGCAATTTGTATTTGATACAAAAAAGGTATCGATAAACTCAATATCTTAACGCACGCGAACGTACTAAATTTGGATTGCGGTTTGCCCTAGCTCTTGTTTTAATTTTGATATACCTTGCACTACAGGGTACTCCGAGTATACCTTTGTATACCCGAAATCAAGCCTTTGTTGGAATTTGAATGCCTTCTTACTATGCTATAGAATAGAAGGGCATGATTTTCATGCATCACGAAGTTATTTGAAACTTTAATATGGTTTCGTTCAACCACAGCCTATATCGAAGGAAAGATGGCGATGAAACTCATTAGAATAACAATATAGCTCATTATCTATGTTAGTCGACGTTTATTCATAAACCTGATCCTTCACCGTCACGTATTGTATTTTTGCCCAACTAACCAATAGTAATGTTTTAGGAAAGTTACTTATCCGTGAGACCGTGACTCGAACAACAGGGAAATTGCTATTGCCAGTATTGGCGGATTTGGCAAAATACAATACACACGTGACGGTGAAGAACCAGATTTATGAACAAATGTTGACCATTAAATATAGATAAATGAGTTATATTGTTATTCACAGCCATCTTCCATTCGATAGGCTATGTCCAACATATGAATTACATATATGCTGAACAAAGTGTATGACTAATTAGTAATTTGACAATTTTTATGCAGTTATGCTCCTTCATACGATTAAAAGCTATTTTAAATTCCCAGGAGTAGAAAATCTTGTGTGTACCGCATTCCTTGTGAATGTGGCCTGGTTTAAAGACAACGTAAATGAATCTCAGAAACCTGGTGTGTACCGCATTCCTTGTGAATGTGGTCTGGTTTACATTGGTGAAACTGGTCGAAATCTCTCAGTACGTCTTAAGGAACACAAGACGAATTGCGAGAAAGCCGAGCAAGATAAATCATAGGTAGCCCCACAATCAGTGGTATTAATTCATTTCTGTTCAATAAAATCATACTACTACTCAGTCCCCTACTGCATTGTTTACGCGCGGTCAGATCATGTAATTTACTTTACTTTAATTAACATCGATATTTACAATTTTTAACAAACAAAAGAATATAACAGGACAAATATTACATTAAGTTAAAATAACCTAGATATCAAATGTAGATCCAAAAAGGTAAGGTACGAACGGGACTCTTATAAAAGGTCCCATGCAGGGCACCCACCTCCAAAATAGTAATCATGATAACTAATAGAACATCGCGAACTCAAACTCGCTAGAGGATTCTCGGCAAGCAAAAAATTAAAATGTATGTATCTCTATAGTATTATATGCTATAGTGTATTATATGCTAGCATATAATACTATAGAGATACATACATGATCTGACCGCGCGTAAACAATGCAGTCGGGGACTGAGTAGTAGTATGATTTTATTGAACAGAAATGAATTAATACCACTGATTGTTGGGCTGCCTATGGATAAATCTGCTGGGACTAAACATACTTGAACTTACGACCATCGTATAAAATGGGACGAAGCAACCATTTTGGCGATTGATAGTCATAAGTTCTCTCGCAAAATGAGAGAGTCAATTGAAATCGAGAAGCGCAATACAGCCAATACTATAGATCAGGAGGGAAAGCCACTAGATAGTACGTGGCGGGCTCTCTTTAATGTGCAAAATTAATCTCTCTTGTCTTGGATGCGCGCGCGTTAATAGGAATCACTTCACTACGTTTGAAATGACGTGGTTAATTATTACAATAGGAAAATTTCAAAAGGTCTACTACTTTTTTTCAGGACACCCTCTATATAATAATAATAATAATAACTTTATTCATAACAAAATACCAATACTGGTACATAATGAATACATAACATTGTATAAAAAATATTAGATCACAAAATCGTTAACTATAGTATACTATAACTGAACAGGATATATAAAATACTGAATTATTTTATAGTTGTTCAACGTTAGTCAGTTATATATAAGTGAAACCAATGGCGGCCATCTTGGATTGCCCCCCCTTAAATTAGTGCTCAGCGCTAAAAAAGTGGAAAATATCAGCATCAACATGAAATCAACAGAAATAAAACTACACTCGTAGAAGAGTACCAGGTACTGAGTAATACCATATATGCTAGTACGTACGTGAGTATGGTGAATGTCAACGGCTGATGTATGTGCGTGAGGTACTTCAAGCCTGTGTTCACGAACGTCCAATGGTGCATGCCTGTTTGGGCATGTTCTACACACTAATGTCAACACAATGCTGGAGTGGATGGGATTACTCCAAGTCTACTAATACACTTCTTATATGAGTAATGTCTATAAACCAGGAACGGTTTCGAAAAATGCAACACTAGGTCCTCTGGCAGGAATCAAACCTGCAGCCCTGTGATTCCGGTACAGTGCTCGAACCAACTGAACTACAGAGGCCAGTTGTCGAGCTCTAACCACAAGTTAATGTATAATGAATTTTCGTGAACTTGAAAGATTTTCTGCGCACTTCACTTTGTTGAAACTGAATATTGAAGCAGATGGATAAATCCACACTTTTTATAGGTACGATTGCAAAAAATGCAACACTAGCGCCTGTATTCTAAAAGCTCACTCACACTCAATGAGTGGAGGTTCAATCAGAGCTTTTCTTGAGTGTCAATGCTGTTTTTGAATAGCTGGAGGGTTAGTGTCGTACCTTACTATGTGACTACTCACCCTCGAGCTATTCAAAAACAGCATTTACACTCAAGAAAAGCTCAGATTGAACCTCCACTCATTGAGTGTGAGTGAGCTTTTATATCATCACTTGGATTATACATCTACCCCCAATGTTCAGTTTCAACCGGCAAATGAAGTGCTGAAAAAACTTTCAACTTCAGAATGACAACACAGACACAGTCCTTCAGCTTCTCATAGAAGTGCGTCTGGCACATAAGTGTGATCGTTGACATTTCACCTTGGTTTACGCAATGTTTTGATCATAAACACGTAATACAGCCAATTCAAAAAAGTTCAGTGTCCTTTGCAAACCTTACTCTAAACCTTAAACTCTAAGCGCGCAAAGCTTAATGGGAGCACAAGTTTCAAGCTTAGTAGTTGAATATTGCAGCTATTTGTGAATGAATTGTTCTCGTAAGGAGATATTTGTCATATCTCTAAGAAATGGCCCCATATATGATTTCTAGACTGATAAATGATGCTACCATTATGCTTTGGTTTGAATTAGCTGTATACAATTTGCGATGACCATACGAAGTGAGGAACGTCTGTACACAGGCTATACGAAGTTTGCCATCGCTTCATATACATGGTCCTTGAGTTTGTTAGTCTGTTTAATATAGTTTGTTCGGAATCATAAGCCTTGCTGTTCCTTGCATAGTGTTTACTCAAAAGTAATATGTCTTCGCCGGCTTATTTAGGCCGCCCAGGAGATTCGCCCCCCTCTCAAAAGGAGGGCGATATTCCTAGTTTTGCATATGCTCCAGTGTTTCAACTATGTTTTAACTTAAATAAAAGACATGATAGTGTTGGGAAAGCATTAAGAACAGCCAAGGGTGGGTAGTAGCGAAGTAGTTGTAGTTCGCTACTGTAGCGAACTACAATTTTCAAGTAGCCAGTAGTTTTTGACTACTTTTTTAAAACAGTAGCTGCAGTTATAGCGAACTACATTTTGCCTAAAAGTAGCCAAGTAGTTGACTACTTTTCAAACAGCAAATCGCTATTCGCTACTCAGTTAAAAATTGTTAACAACTTGATATAGAATAGCATGCATGGTATTGAGACACGGTTAAAATCGATACTCAATAGTCATTTTGCACTCCTGAACACTGTAGTGATTACAAAAATGTTGCTTTGTGTTTACTGTTGCTACTCGTAAGTCGATTTGTTATAGGTTACATTATACAGTCTGAGTTAGTAGATGCTCCAAAT